AACCCCTCTTTGTGTCATTGTCCCCTTCTCCAGACCCTCTGTGTGTCCCTGTCCCTGTTCCCAGCCCCACAATGTGTGTCATTGTCCATTTCTCCAGCCCTTCTGCGTGTGTCATCGTCCACTACCCCAGCCCCTGTGTGTGTCACTGTCCCCTTAACCGGGCTCTCTGTATGTCATTGTGCCCTTCTCAGCCCCTCTCTGTGTCATTGTACTCTTATACAGCCCCTTTCGGTGTTTCTCTTTTTTCCCTTCCTCAGCACCTCTGCCTCTCTTTTCTCCCCAGCATATCTGTGTGTCTCTGTCCTCACAACTCCCTGTGTGTCTAATTCTCCCCTTCCCCAGCCCTACTGTGTGTCTCTTGTTCTCCTTCCAGAGCCCTTCTGTTTCTTTCTCCCCCAGACCCAGACCTTTAGTGTGTCCCTCTATTACCCCCCTCCCTCCCCGTGTGTCTCTTTCTCTCCTCGAGTGGACCGTAGAGGATCTTCTATATCCTCTAACCGACCGGTCTGACTGGAAGCTGCTCGAGCACACAGGTGGACACCGGTGGTTAGTCCAGTATTTTTTAATGTTTTCAGGAATATTTGCACAAATTTGTAAACTATATGTTAAAAAAATCCCCTCAAGGCACCATTAGAGACTACAATTAAATTTAATGGGTCCTGGAGATGGGTCTCTGTGACCCTCATTCACCCCATACTGGCTCTTCTCACCTCAATTACTGTGGCTGGCAGGCTAATGTGGCTGGCATTCTTACTCGGCCGGCTGGTTCACTGCTGCAGCTTGCTGGCAGGTTGGCTGCTGCGGCCGGCAGGCCTCCTTCTTCCCCCATTGTGCGTCTGTTTCTCCCCCAACCCCTTTGTGTGTCTCTTCCTCACAGCCTTTCTGTGTGCCTCTTTGTCCCCCCAGCCCCTTTGTGTGTCTTTGTCCCCCACAACCCCTCTGTGTGTCGTTGTGCCCCCCCAGGCCCTATGTATGACTTTTTCCCCCAGCCTGTCCTTGTGCCTTTCTTTTGCCCCACCTCTTGTATCCTTCTTTTCCCCCTTCCTGTGCATTTCTTTTGCTCTACTCCTGTGACCTTCCTTTTCCCCCCTCTCCTGTGCCCTTATTTTGTACACTTCCCTCTTGTGTCCTCTTTAGCCCCCTTCCCATCCTGTGCCCTTCTTTAGCTCCATTCCTGTGCCCTTTTTAGCCCCCCTTAACTTCTGTGCCATTATTTTGCCCCCTCTGTACCCTCTCTAGCCCCCTACCCTCCTGTGCCCTTCTTCTGCCCCCTCCCATTCTGTGCCCTTCTTTTGACCACCTCTTATGTGCCCTCTTTTGTTCCCCTTCTGTGCTCTCTTTACCTTCTGTGCCCTCTTTTAATCCCCTTTTGTACCCTCACCTTCACCATCTTTGCCCTTTCCCCTTCTGTGCACTCTTTAGCCCCTTCACCTTCTGTGCCCTATTTTGCCCTTTTCCTGTGTCCTCTTTAGCCCCCTTTCACTTCTGTGCCCTCTTTTCCCCCTTTTAGCTCATCTCCCATTCTGTGCCCTCTTTTGCTCCTCTGCTGTGCCCTCTTTAGCCCCCCTTCATCTTTTATAGATAGACAGACAGACAGGGGTTTTTAGTGCATCATTCAAAATATCAATTTTTAATGGGACCTTTCATTTTTCTTTTATGATTTTTTCAGGTTTTGTCACTATGTGTATGTCAGGATACAAGAGTCAGCAACCTACAAAAGGAACAGGAAGAATAATCAATACTTAGAAGATAAAAATATTATCAGAGTGCAGAGCATATTTGACATGTCTGTTTATTAAATATTATGTTGATAACTAAAATTACACAATGCAACTGAACAATGGAAGGAAAGCTCCATACAACGTAACCCTCACCCCCTACACACACTCTCACTCATTGTTATAGATAACCTATAGTTTACGTGTATGGTTTTTTTCATTCTAAATACAGCAAATGAGAGGCATATGTTGCTTGTATAGATTATGATCAATGAATTTGTGCACTTAGACACATCAAGATGAAAATATATCTAGAGATGAGTATCTCTAAAATAAACTGTGCCATCAACGACGGCTCTCTCCGCCTGGTAATCTCTTTGCTCCACAGGAGTCAGCTGTGATGTCTTCAGCTAATTATTGTACACAGCATCACATAGACTAGCAGTGGGATATTAAAGGCACTTCTCAACAAGGGTGTGTGTGTATAAATGTATCTTTATCTGTCAATCCGCTTTGTGTATGTATGCATGTATGTGAGTATGTGGTTTGGTAGGTGACTATCATAATATAATGTCTTGTACATCTAGTCAAGTTGTCTTTGAAAAGACAATTATGGGAAATCAACAGACTGGACCGACGTCTAAGGGTCCCATCTTAATAATTGCGATAAAACCAGAAGGTCATCATTTGTTAAAATACAGCACACACTACATAATCTTGCAAAATGAGAAGCAAACAGGCAGCACATGGGTCGAAGGAGTAGAGGTAAGTGACAGGATAAAAGAGAGGGGAGTCTGTTGGTGTTAGAGGTTTGGATATTTGGATTGTATAAATGCTACAAACAATACACATTACCCCATAGTGAATACAAACAACAGTAGATTCACATCAACACACATTGTCTACTCAGTACAAAGGAGTGTGGGAATTGGAGACCACCCACCCAAAAAAAGAAGAGCGAGGGAAGCACTGGACAATCAACTGATGAGAATTTGTCCATGGTGTAGACCATAATTTACCAGAATTTGTCCATGGTGTATACCATTTTGGACTGAGTGGACACCCTTTTCAACAGTGACAACAGGGTTACAGAAACAAGGAGATCAGAAGGAATACCTGGAGGAAGATTGAGGAAGCAACCAGTGCTGTTGAAGTTACACCGAGGACTGTCAACGTGTTAAAAAAAAGCTCTGGATATTCTGTAAGTGACAGTTCAAAGGCAAGATGTTGTAAGAGAAGAGTAGAAATATTGGCATAATAAAGGTGGTGCTAAGGGGGGCAGCTGTCACCAGGCGCAGGGGTGTGAAAGGCACTGGCCATAGTATCTTTCTTTTAGTCTTTCTCTGATAGTGTTGCCTTGCAGTTCCTCTGCATAATATATGATCATTGATAGATGGAGGCCTTCATCGAGATGTGTTTGTGTCAACAGGTTTAGTGGCAGAATTAATGCAGAGATGGCCCTTGCGCAAACATATTTTTAGTCCCCCTCTTGAGCAGCGGTGGCTAAAAGGTAGATCCTCAAGTGCTGTACAAGTCTCACGATTCTTTGATGGCTGTGGATTTACCATTTGCCCTTTCTTGCAGGGTGGAATTTGTGAGCAGTGTTAAAGTGTGAACTATGTCCCCCTCACTACATGGAGTGAGCTTCAAGGTCTGCCTCCATATATCAGTAATATTGTGTCTGTTCTCATTTCTGTCAATATAAAGCACTTTCATTCTGGTGCTAAGGGGACCTCTTCACAAGCCAATATTGGCCTCGATTTAATAATGTTGTATTGTCGCAGTACCTTCCCAATGAACGCACTGCTCCGACATATCTGCATGAGTCGTGAACATCAATCAGGAGGCTGAGACTTCCGATCCTCTTCTGGTCTCTCTGCCTTCCTGATAAACTCTGGATTAGGAGGCAGACACTTCTGTTTCTCTGGACAGGGAGAGGGACACTGCACACTTAAAGCACTGTTAATAAAACGCTTATGTTAATAAGACGCTAAGCTTCATTTCCAGGTACAAGAGATCCATGTCATCACTGCAGCCTCATAGTGACACTTTTTGGGGTCACAAGGGTGATGTGGAATAATCAGAGTCCACCTCAATATTTAAGTAAAGTTTTAGCTCCATGGTCATTGCCCCATCATGGTTCCTCGTTCAGTGCCCTAAAGTGTTCTCTGCAATCCTGACCTGGCTAGTTATATTGTCCTCCTGTATTTCTGTTATCCTGATCTTGACTAGAAATTCAATTTTCACAAATTATCTTTCTACATTACACCTGACCATTCTAAAATCCGGCAATACATTATTTTCTTGTGTTCCTGTCTATGACTAAAAACTTTTGACTTGGGTAGTGTATCCATGACAAGGATGAGCTTTCCAAATGATTTTATATTTTTGGCTAAAATTTCAAAATGTGTTTTTCAAAATGTTAAAATAGCAAAAAATATATAATTAAATCATATATACATAAAAATGAATGTTCATATATTACAAAATTTGAATATTTTTCATAACATGAAATAAATTTAAAATGTACCCAAAAATAATAAACATTTGGAAAGCTCATCCAAAAATAATATACCAAGGACACTAATCCTTACTAATTCTATCCAATGTGTTTCAGGTCTGTCTGGCCCAAAATAAACTCAGTGTAGAAGTTTAGTGGGTTTTAGTATGTGAAATATACTCTGACATATGTTTAATTTACTCATACAATCTGTCTACCTTTACTTACTAGCTACAGTCAATGTTCATACTATTGTTACCCTGACTCCTGTTATTGGCCCAGTCAGTACTAGTCATGTGTTGCCATACCTATATACCTGATCACATGCAGGAACGTCCCACAGGCTACCAACATCAAGGATTCAGTCTATAGACAAAGGTTGTTTCCAGTTCTGATAAGGCAGATCCAATATAAAATGGGACATAAAATGGGGCCAATTATTTGGTAAGAATACTGGGGATGTAAGGGAAGGATAAATGTGTATGTAAGTGAAAGTACAGAGCTTTTCATTTTGTTCATGTAAAGAAGTTAGTTAAGAGCAGAAGAAGGATGAAGAGTGTGCAAGATGTGCCAGGAGGAATGATTTTGTGTATGTGAGAGTTCAGTTAGTTTTGAGTCAAAAAAGTCACCACTGTGATGGCGGCTGGACGCTTTCTCTTGGTGCTCTGTGCAGACTTACCTGCGTCCTCTTCCCTCATATTGGGTCTAGCTGCAAAGCTTTAGTGCTCAGTACTGACTGACCTGCTTGGGGGTGCTCAGAGCAGTCACTAGCAGCTGTCCATATGGAGTCGTCCGCTGACTGGAGTGAGGCCTATCAGGCAATGTGGAAGGGGGAGGCTGCTGATTTTCTGAACCAGCTCAGGCTGCTCTCTGGCAACTACTTGATGGCAAGTGGGGGTGATCCCAGTCCCCACTGTGGAGACTCCCTTACTTCGCCAGGGCTAAGCGCTACCACCAAAGGCAGCGACAACATACCTTATTGCATACTCAAAATGGACAAATTCCTTGATGAGTTCTGGGGAAGTTGTTTCTCAAACAGCCTGTGCCTGCCTTGTGAGCCTCAGAAGCCTACCCACCTGGAAGTTCTCCCCAACGGCCTCGGATCCGCACCGCGGTGTCGGATATGGGGAGCGTGCAAAGGTGGAGGAGAAAGCCACATCGACAGATTGCGAGGGGAGTGGTGTGCAGACTTGCATTGAAGATGGGAGCAGAAGGAGTCCCAAGCAGGAATCAGCATGCAGGGGGAGGCAGAGGGAGATGCCCTACTTCTTGGGTGCTGCAGCACCAGTGTCTCTACCACTAAGCCACCTCAGTACTTGGGACTTTATCTTGCCCTTGACAGGCATAGGCTGAAAACTAGCTTGTGTTTAGTTCACTATCCCTTCACACCCGGCAGGGAGTAATCATGCTGGGATTAGGGTGTCTGTGTGTAACAATTAACCCAACACGCAGAGTGAAAACCGCCAGTAGAATTAGAGACAGAAATAAAGTCCCTAAGCCGGTCCTTAGAATGGCCAGATAAAAAAGAGAAAACTACAAGAAACGAAGAAACAAGCCAAGGTCAAGGGAAGCCAGAAATACACAATAACGAGTAACGAAGCTGAGTCAGGGAAACCAGAAGTCAGAATAGTCAAGATCAAGCCGGGTCAAAACCAAAGAACTATCACAAGAGGGTACAGAAACACACTAAAGTGACACAAGGCACACTAGGAACCACAACAGGGCACTGTTTTGAGGGGAGACTGGGCTTTTATATGATTGGGGGCGTGATTATCATAACCATGCCCCAAAAAGGTATGTGTACATTGGGCTCTATTGTATAGAACTCTTCTGAGTTCATGAAGTCAACATGCATGCGCCACATCATTAAAAGGGGCGGCGCATAGCGGCCAGCGGCCCTGTGGCTGAGTGGAGCTTCTCCTGGCGTGGGAGCCACGGTCCGACTGATCCCGGCATCGGCAGACCGATAAGGTAAGTGGGAGGGAGCTGACACTTTGCTCCTCAGGTTAATTTACTAATGTTGCGTGAATATTTTCAGATCCCTCCATTGTGTTAATCTTTTTTTCTACAAAAGATAGCTTCTGGTATGTGGATGGATGGGCAGGCAGAATGATGAACAGATGGACAAACAAACAGGTAATAAAATAAATCTTCATGAGATGCATATACAGAAAATAAAATGTTTAGATGCAATGAATAAAAATATTGTAAAAAGCAGTTCTTCAAGTAAGTATATTCTGTAATAATGTAATTCCCTTTACAAGATGTGGACTCAATTACACGACAGATGTTGTGGAAGAATAATGATAGGATACGTAAAGCACTCTATAGAATTTAAATTACTGTAAATTATTTAATTATTTTTTTTTTTTGCCAAACATATAAAAATCTATGTTAAACTAATTAAATTTAAACTATTAAGCCCTTATGCATTAATCTGAATACAATTAAAAATCTGCAAGATTTTATTATAATGTTCTGCTGTTCATCCAATATTAGTGTCTGTTTTTGATACTGGGTTTAAAAGATACAGACCTTTTACAATTTATACACAAATTATTGAAAAGAAATCTGTAAATACCTATGTAGAAAGGTCTATATTGTATCCTGACAAATCTTTTTTTTTCCTCCTCTCAACAGCAATACAGCAAGACCCGGCCTAAGATTCATAAATGAATAAATCAATAGATGGCTAGAAATTAATCTGGCCACCTCTCCCACAAATGAGTAGAGAACTCGAATAAGTACATGGACTTCCGTGATAGAAGAAAACATAAATAAGGAACTGACCAATATAATTTTATAGATCAACGCTAAAGTAGGTGTAAAGGACTTCATGACTTCATCAAACACCACCATATTGTCTGTACAAACACTACTGCCTCCATCTGCAAGGTTGGTTGGTTGACTTTTAAACCTCTCCAGAATAAGGACATGGCAATATGTAATACATACTTTACCATTATGAATCTTTTATATGTCATGATATTTCTAGGCTCCGGTTAGTGTGCTAGGGTGGAGGTTAGTGTTGGGGTTGGTCTTAGAGATAAGACTAGGGGTAGTGTGTGTAATGCAAAATGTGTAGATTAGGGATAAGGTGAGTAGGGGTTACAGAGTAGTGTAGTGTCGCCGAAAAGGGTTAGTGTAAGTATTATGGTTGTGTATGGGTTAGGGGTAATGTAAATGTTGGGTTGTTTTTGTTGTAGGGGTTTACATGTTTCAGAGCTGTCTGATTTCAGGAGATTAGGACATGCTTTTCCTGGTTCTCTCTCGTTGAGGGCCCCTGAACTGCAGAGAGATAAACCATGCCTAATTCAATTCATTATGGGAATAATTGCAAAGAACATATCCATATACTGCCAGGTCATACACATGACATACCCAATGACATAAATAAGCAAGTAAATACATATTTATATTGTATTTATATTATTGATGGTATTATGTTTCTGTGTATTAATGTGTTGCACAGTTTATGTGCATGCATGTACATGTTGATATATCATAATAAATGTATGTATGTGTGTTATCTTAATCTGTAAAAAAAAAATTCTGGAATATGTTTTTTGGAATCTATTTACTACAAATCCTTGAAAAGCTCCTTGAAAAACGCAGAACAGGCTGGCTGTGAACAGTGGGAATTGCAGTCATTAGCTGCAGGCATCCCAAAGGTTGCATAATTCCCGCTGCTGCCACAACGTTACAGATGGCTGCAACTTCATGTCATTGCTCTGAGATTTAAAGATGTGATAAGAGCTAGTCACTGGATGTTCTACACTACAGGATAGCAGAGATTTTCTAACAAACCTAGAAGTCCCTAAATCTCAGGACAAGTCTAATGGAACTAAGCCAGGAATCTTTGCAGTGATACAAATGTTTTTCATAATGATCAACTTCTTTCAGCCATTTCCAATATGTTTCAAATGGTTCCTATTCCATTGAGGAGCTTCGTAAATGAATGTTCCAAGTGACTCCCTTGACAGTAAGTAATTGGATTAAAAGCGCCTTAATTCTAAATTAGACTAGAACATGGATAACAAACTGTGTAGCAAGCTGCTATGGGTGTTTGGGTTTTTAACATACAACTTCTAAAGGGGTTATTCATTCACTAGGCTGCAATATTTTTCAATTTTGTGGAATAGAATTTGGGTGATTTACTGCAGTTTGGAAGCAGATGTTTTCAGGGAATATTTCCTTAATGTTTAATTCTCCCGATTTTACAAACCAACATCAGATTTAATCAGAAAGAGATGTGTATTGGAAACCACATAGAATAATCTAAAATGGGCCAAAATTATGCAAACTTGCTCAGAAATGCAGAACAGTAAATAGTTAACTTCAATAAGGGGACACTCCAAGCTCCATAATCACTAGCCTGATGTAGTAGTTATGGTGCCAAGAGTGCCATGGGGCAGTCCCGGTATCATTTGTCAAACCATTTTAGAATGGTTTGACAACATACCTGTGTCCCCCTGGTGCATGTGCCACAACTGATCTTCTTCTGCAGGAGAAGCTTAATGACTCTATTCAGCTAAGCAGGGCTGATCCAGGACCATGCTCAGGTGAAGGTCCCAGTCAATGAGTGTAGCCTGCATGGCTGTGCTTAGCTCAGTAGATCTAACTGGACTCTCCTGTAAAAGAATACCATTTGAAATGGTCACTGGCGCTCTGCAGAACTCGGATACTTTGTCAAACTTCTAAAATGGTTTAATGAATTATAATTGGATACTGCCAGGGTCCAGGCTGTAGTAGTTATGGTGCTTGGAGTGTTCCTTTAAATCCTGAGTGATTTCTCAATTAATCTCAAATTAGGCAAATGCATTAGTCCTCTTCATCACAGGTGAAGGCACAAAAATCTTTGTCAAAAAAATGGGGGTTCCCTGGGTGAGCTAATAATGTTTGGAATTGCCTCCAATTCATCTCGCCTTAAGTGGAAGTTTGAGGGTTAACTTAAAGGGCAAGCATTAAAAACCAGTCCTGATAAAACGGCGAGTTTGTAATGGCATGTTTCATTACGGCATTGCATCCTTAATAGAGGAACAACATCAGACTTTTCCACTAGCTCCATTAGCAATATGGCCTACAGTTTAATTGCTACTTAGGTTGGGGTAATCAGACTATGTATCTTGCTGGGGTACATCATGACTCAGTATGTTGTGGACTGCAATTCCTATCATCCTTACCCAGCTGAGGTTTATTTGAGAATCATAATAACAGCACGCCCAGTGCCCACACATGTTAATAAGTATACTGCTGGCCTGTGTTTGAAGGACATGAGTTCTTGCTGCCCCATGTACTATAATGACACACACCATGATAAACAGTGCTGTGATGATGTCACAGTCATAAATGCAGTGCTGTTACATCATAATATTAAATATTTTATTCCCTTTATTTTAATGTTTATTTTGAAGGTGAATACGTGCCCCATCATCCCACTATTAATTATTATTAACCTTCAACAGTTTTTTGTTTTTTTTCATTTCTTTTGTAAAGCGATAATAAAGACATTTTTTTTTATTTTTATTAATAATGTGGTTGTGGATAGAATGTAAAACCTTTACTCAGGAATGTGATAGTTTAAAAGCACCGATGGCACCTTTTTATAAATATGTTTGCTATTAAAAAAAAAAGATATGTTCTCACATTTTAATCTAATTAAAACTAAAATGATGAAATTACTTTCAGGTGTTCTATATCATACACAGTTCCCCAACAATGGGCAGGAGTCTCTAAGTAGAGAAGTAATAGAATCCAGCAATGTGTCCTCTTCAGTATTCACTAGACAGGAATATAATCTGAGTACTCAGTTTCCAGAAGAGGCTACTTAGAGATTGAAGTTGTGTAGAAGAGAACTAGAGAGAGGAGAAAGGTTAATGGTAGTAAAGCAAATATGCTACTGGAAGAAAATTTTCTTTTTACAATTCAGCGCTTTTATATTGCCAAACTGTGTTGAGAAATGTACTTTGAAGGGAACTTCAGAGAGATTTAAGTGCATTGCTGGTTTACAGGATAGATGTTATATTTGCATCAAGCACAGTTCAGATGTCATGTGAATTTACTTAATAATAAAATAAAGAAAGAGGGACATGAGTGGAGGCATAAATACAGAGATGGAAGATGGATAGATATATAGACTGATAGATAGATAGATAGATTGATAGATTGATATATAGCTAGATAGATACATAGATAGATAGACAGATAGATAGATGATAGATAGATAATAGATAGAAAGACTGATAGATAATAGCTAGATAGAAAGATAAACTGATAGATAATAGATAGACTGATTGATAGATAGATAGATAATAGATAGAAAGATAGATATATAGAATGATTGATAGATAATAGCTAGATAGATAGACTGATTGATAGATAGATACATATATTGATAGATAGATAGATAGATAGAATGATTGATAGATAGATACATATATTGATAGATAGATAGATAGATAGATAGATAGATAGATAGAATGATTGATAGATAATAGCTAGATAGATAGATAGATAGATAGATAGATACATAGATAATAGATAGAAAGATGGATAGATGGATAGATAGATAGATAGATAGATAGATAGACTGATTGATAGATATATAGATGGATAGACTGATTGATAGTTAGATATTTTTTTACAATAGAGTCTAGTTAGATCTAAAGGATATGGCTTTAAGTCACACATTCAGCAGATGGCCAAATGGCTATTATAAGACATTTTACTTATAGAAATATAGTAATTTGTGTGTGCACGGGGTGTCCATGCTGCCCCCCATACAGGTTTCTAATGTGCTAGTATGAAATAGCTCATTATCTGGTTAAATATGAAGATTAGCATTTATCTTTGTAAATTATGTTGTTGTTTTTCTTGTTTGCTTTTCTTTTACAATCAGTAACATTGTTTCATTTTTAAAGTTTTCATCACAAGTGTCCGGCTTGTAATTAAAAATAATTTAGTTATGTTTTAGCTTGATGAATAGCACTGATCCTTTTTATGGTTGAATTTTCTGTACTTTTTTTCCCTTTTATAAAAAGGGCTGCCCTATTCCTATGGACACCTGAGATGTAAATGCATCCTTGGTACCATCATTACAACACTGGGTGCAGCAATGGGATTCATTGTATAAAGATGGCAATATTCTGAATTCATGCTTATCATTAGCATGTTGTGTTGGTGAAGAATGTATAATGTATATCTATACTACTCTGTATGTGAAGAATTACCTTCTCTAATTCTCCACCCAGGAAGGGTTAATAAACTGTTATACTATTTAATACAATGTTATAGATCCAAACGTGGTTGTTAGAAATATGAAATCATACAATAAACACACATAGAATGTTCTGAGTATTTAGCTTCAGACATTATCATGATAATGCTAATAGCAATAATGGTAAATTCCCACTCAGAAAATATTAACAAAACATAGCACATTTGTTTATTCTTAAATATAATCTCCAGAGCAAAATGTCAAATAGTTTGCAAAACATGGTTAGAAATGAACCAGAATATCATACAACACAGCCCTGTTTTATTGATGCTTGTTTTTCTTGATTCCAAAGTAGAAAATTGTCAGAGATGACTCAGGATCACACACAGAGCACTAGTGCCCTGTGCAGATGGCACATTATTAACCCTTTAAACATTAGAAGTGTGTGGGGGATGGGGGGCACGGATGGAAAAGTTAAATGCATGTAATGGGAGTCTGCAGGCATCCTGCCTTTACATTCACTCTGTCATATAGTATCAGTCTCATAAGATTGTTCAAAGATGCACAATGTTTTGCCCAATCAGACCCTTCCCTCTTACTTCCCACCTCACCACCACCCACCACTGACAAAGCCAATGAGTAGTACTGAATCTAGTGTGGATTGCAACTCCCATCATGTGCATGGCTCAATTGGAATGATGGAGGTTGATGTCCTGCTTGAACTCTAGGGAGTGTCTAAGCCTTTCACAATCTCCAGTGAATCGTGAAAACCAAACAAGGGGCCAACTATTCAATGGACAAAAGTCTTCCTTCTGCCATAACAGATAATTTTTTTGAAAGAGCGCCTGAAATCTTGGTTAAAAATGGTGTAAATGACGGGGTTGAGGGAGCTGTTGCAGTATCCTATCCAGAAAAAAAACTTAAACAAGGTTTCTGGTATCTGGCATAGGTCTCTGCAGATACCATACAAGCTGTAGCTGAAAAAGAATGGGAACCAGCATACCACAAACACCCCCATTACCACTGCCAAGACAAAGGTAAATCTCTTCTCCCTGGCTTGAGTGATTTTCCTCCTAGATATGCTACTTCTCTTCTTTTTCCTTGAGGAGAACATGTCTACAGATTTGCTGCTAGACCGGGACAAGCGACTGGACTGCTTGGAGAAGGAGTTATGCTTGGAGGAGCTATTTTTGCAAGTCTTCTTCTCTCTGGAGGAGTCAGTGTTTTCGTCTCTACTGCTACTCTTCCTCCTCTTACTCTCTGATATACTGCTCTCCTCCAGCTCCACATCGTCCAAGTCGGTAGCTTTTGGTGGATTTGGTCTAGACGAGCAGTGCCCATTCTCTTTATCTCCAGGAGATCGCAAAGAGGTCCCTTTGCTGAAGCCATTCTCTGTGTGAGAAGAACAGTCTGTGACAGGTTTCTTCTCTGACATAGTCCTGGTTCTCAGTTTGGCCACTTGGTAGATGCGAATGTAGACCAAGATCATGATGACACATGGGGCAAAGAATGAACCGATACAAGAAGACAAGATGTACCAGGTCTCATCATTTAATTTGCACTGTGGGTAGACATCATCCGCCGGGTCCCTGTCCATGGATATCAGTGGTGGGAAGGAGATGACAGCAGAAATTAGCCAGACAATGACAATGATACCTTTGATCCTCCTTGGTGTCCTCTTTAAATTGTATTCTACAGCCTGGGTGACCGACCAGTACCTGTCCAAGCTGATAGCACATAAATGGACTATAGAGGAAGTGCAGAAAAGCACATCTAAAGCCAAGTAGATGTCACACCACACACTTCCAAAAAACCAGTATCCCATTAACTCATTAGCCAAGGAGAAGGGCATCACCAAGGTAGCCACCAGGATATCAGCACTTGCCAAGGAGACCAAGAAAAGGTTCTGGGGGGCTTTTAGAGCCCTACTAGTCAAAACTGCTATAACCACAAATACATTCCCCACTATTGTGAAAATGATGATAAATCCCACTAGGACTGCCAATGTCCAGATAGCAGTCACTGAGTATTGCCCTGGGGCCACACGTACCTCGGGAGAGGGTAGGAGAGTACTGTTGATGTTACTCGTGTTTTCAGGCACATCCATAGTACTATTTATATTAAAGTGACATCCACATACTAGCTCAGCTGTAGCATCCCTTGCACGATGTGTCCCTTGCCAAGGAATTACCTCCTCAACCCCCATCACCGGTCATCCTTATCCCAGAGAGCTGCCATGGATCACACGGAAACACCCAAAGAAGTCTTCTTCTCGATCAGGCGACCAGCGTTCTTGAGTCTGGGCTGGGGTCATGTTCCTCGCACCCTGCTGGACCAGAAGCTAATGTGGATCGTCGCATCTCGGTCGCCAGTCTAGTACTCTTGGACACAGTGATCCAGCAGGGGCAGTGTTCAGAGTAGATCAGGAAGAGGTGGAACTGGGGTAATAGCTTACTTAAATCCTCCAGTTTAAACCCCCAGCATATGTTCCCCTATCAATCCTGAGTTTGTTTATTTTTTTTCTTCCCTTTTTTGAGTGCTGAATTCACAGCAGCTTTACTGCCAACTGCAGATCACTGCTTGTCTGATCCTAGTAGTGTGAAAGCAACCATCGGATGTTCTTCTGTTCTCTTCACGTTGTCCTCCTCATTAGACACATATTTAAAGAATACATGCTGATGGGCTGGAATCTGGAGAGCTGCTGCAGACACACTCTGTGCATGGTACTTATCCCATAAGTGTATTTGGAACGTTGCCTGAATTGAGGTAAGTGTATCACAGTCTCTCCCTGCTTCCATCCTCCCTCCCATATGTCTTCTTAACCATCTGAGCGCTGAGGGACAATGCTGCCCCCGCCTACAGCCCCCCACCGGGTTAATATGGAATGTCACGCCTGATATGTACAGTAGTGACATTAAGATCAAGTCAGTGTCATGAGGAGTCATGTTCTAATCAGAGATGAAGGCTATGGATTTACAATAATGCACATTGAATTATCTCATAAAACAGCAGGACAATGTGAGCTATCCTATAACCCTTTGTGCCTTAGTAGAAGAAATAACTATTACTGCTAATTTAACCCCATCTTGCCCTCTTTAATTGTTTATAATAATGTTCCTGGGAGTACCATGCATTATTGATTGCACACTATACATTATATCACACCCACAGCCCATTTCTCTGTATAGTGTCAATAACACCTATGATGCATTGCCTACATGTGATTACCGACTGCAATATCAAGAGCCCCCCCGAATGATCTTTTAAAAGCGATGCTGTGATACTAGCAGGGAGAAAGATTAAGGATTAGCTACATCAATAGCTTCCCATTTTACTAATCTGACAGAGCAGATGGGCTTTGTGTTTTGTGTTTGTTCTGTTATGCATTTGTGTTGCTGTTATTGTTATTTTCAGATTTAACCTAAAATCCTGTGTTTAACATGTGCAGTGGGCAAGGAAACTCCCAGTGTTAGCAGGTACAGTACAACTTCCAGCTAATAAACCAGTTGCTCGCTTGAGGTCAGTCTTAGCACGCAGATAGATAGCAGAGAAATCACAAGAAAGGCCACACATACTGCTTGTTTTTGTAGCCTGCATCTTTCAGCATTTTCCAACAACTTTTGCTAACGTCAAGCATTCCCTGAATGATCTACTGTAACAGTCAGATCTTTGTGACCTCTGTACATGTATCCATTGACACACACAAGTCTGATATTATCTCTTTCATGAACTATTACATCCCTGCATATTGCTTCTGATATGGTTTATATAACTCACTTTCAGCATCACTCAACAAATGCCAGTTAAGAAAGATGTTTTCATGGATATTAAACAATTGGGTGTCTTCTCTCTTTAGCATCACCAATCCTCACTCATAAACGCAAAGTCCAGATACAGGCACAATATAATAGAACCTCGATTTAATTATAAATAGGAAATATTGTAGACAGAACTAGCACATGGTCAGTTGCAGAGTCTTCTGGATTAGCTGAGCAATGCCAAATAACTAGATATTTTTTATTATTTTACTTAATTGTAAGCATCCTTGTGTGTGTGTGTGTGTGTGTGTGTGTATTCACGCATTCGTATCACCTTTAAATGTTAACAAGAACCTTTCTCATACATAACCATTAAAAAGTCACAACTTGATAACACATTTACTGCTAGATGAAAATAAACTAAGTGTGAAATTTATTTGAAATGGAAAATAAATAGCTAGCAAAATAAATTTGAGCAAGGCAACAATTTTGTGTACAAATTTCTGCTCAGAGATGCATGCACAATTATATTTTGTATTTGCAGAATTATAATTTTTCATAATTGTGTTCATCCTTTGCATGAATATATAGTCATGTGACATTATATTACACAGCTTCTCTGGTCAGTTGATCCAATAGTCCATACAGTAATTGAAAAGAAATAGACTTTGTAGCTATAAAACCTATTGTAAAAGAACATATACAGCTTTTATAACATACAGCAGGTGAGACATAAATATAGAGAAAATTGATAAAATATGTGCATATGAGAATTTCTGAGAAATTCCTAACTTCTAGGAGAATGCATACATCATGACTCTAACGCAGGCTTCCCCAAACTCTGGCCCTCCAGATGTTGCTGAATGACAACTCCCATGATTCTCAGCCTATCTATTGCATTCATAGAATCATGGGAGTTGTAGTTCAGCAACATCTGGAGGGCCGGAGTTTGGGGAAGCCTGCTCTATAGTATCGCCTATGTTGTAGTCTTTAGGAGTATGCACATTTTGATTCATCAAGGCTTTTGTACAGTGGTGATGTAATTGACAGTCTCTCTGCATCAGGCGGAGTGACTGACCAAAGCTGAAGGTGGAAAGTTTGTTTCTCAGCTAAGCTTGGGCTAGTTCTAAGGTGGCAGTGAATGCAAGTGGGCTTTACAGCAATATTACATTAACCTAACTTAGAAATTAAACCAAGAAACTGGCTGCATGATCCTGGTACTGAAATGGCTAAAATAACATTCATTTACATTAATTGTATTTTTAATTTTATTTTTAATTTGTTCATTTATCCATTGCGGAAGTAATGAAGCAAGTAAAGTACTGAGAGGAGAGATTCATGTTTTGCAATCATTCTTTCAGGATTGGAATAATTAGCATAGAAAATAAAGTATTTTTTATGTTATTTTTTTTCCATTAAATATAGTCTATATAACAAAATAATGCAAATATAATTTGTCCAATACTCCAGGTGTCAATAATTTGTTGGTATTTTGAGAAATATTGTTTCTATAAAGTGCCTTCAGAAAACAAAACGTATCTCCTTATTTAGGTTTAATGCCACATAAAATATATAAATAAATATATATATGTGTCTTTAGAAAACTAAGCAACTGCATTGGTGACTGCTATTAGAATTTGCTAATGTGCCGTGACATCTGGTCCAGACCTTCTCCTTCTCCCAGCAGCAGTAATTGCTGTACTGCCAATACACATTGAAATGTTTACTGTGCTGAGTTAAGAACCTGCACAGGAGCAAAGAGGAAGGAATCTGTGGATCTACAATGACTCTAGATCTGAGTATACATAGACTTAGTAGGAAAGAGATTCATTTATATATAAAGAGGACACTCATAGTTAATTCCATACTTGTTCTTTCACATATGTAAAAAAGGAAGGTACCTGTAATTTAGCAGTTTGAACAAGTATGAACACGGCCTCACAGAGAAGGCTACACTTTTATCTGAAAAAATACCCACTAGACATAGTTCCATTTTTATATGACAACTGTTTGCTTCAGAGGATAAAACTGCGTACTTTACATTAAACACTTGTCAAGATCACGTGTCTTATTCAAATGTAAAATGTTAAGTTTACTTCAACTTAAAATGAACACTATTGTGCTAATCCTGGCTGTGGGTTCTTCCTATAGCACACAATATGCATTCAAACACACAGGATCCTGTGTTTCTAAAATAGATTGCAGAAAATCAAGGGGGGTAGGGGGGGGGGTGGCCTGATAGATAGGATAGAGTTGAAGAACTAATGACCTATTGATTTACTTATAATACATACTAATAATACTACTAATACCAATATTAATAACCTGTTGTGGCATGTAAAACCTTCCCTTCCTTTCCTTCCCATTCCTTGCCTTTCCTTCCCTTCCCTTCCTACTTTTCTGTCCTTTCCTTCATTTCAGTCCTTTCCCTCTCCCCCTTTCCTTCTACTCCTTTCCCTCTCTTCCATCATTCCACCCTCCCTTCCATCCTTCTTTTCAACCTACCTTCCCTCGTTTAATTTTCTTCCTTCTTTCCACCCTACCCCCTCTCATCTTATTTTCATTTTATTTCTTCTTTCCACCATTCCCTCCCTGTCTTTACCTTCCTTCATTCTACCCTTCTCCGCTCTCTTCCTTTTCCTCCTTCTTTCTACCCTTCCCTTCCTCTCTTCCTTTCCTTCCTTCTTTCCAGCTTTCTCTCCCTCTCTTCCTTTCCTTCATTCTTTCCACCTCTCTATTCCTCTCTCCCTTCCTTCCTTCTTTCCAGCCTTCTCTTCATTTCACTTTCCCTCCCTTTCCCCCTCCCTTTTTCCCTCCGTTCCTCCCTCCCTTCTCTTAATTTCCTTCCTTTTTTCCACCTATCCCTCCCTCTCATCCATTCCCTCCTTATTTCCAACCTTCCCTCCTTGTCTTCATTTCCTTCCTTCTTTTCACCTAACCCTTCCTCCCCCTCTTCCCCTTCTTCCTTTCCTTCATTCTTCCCCCCTCTATTCTTCTCCTCCTTTCCTTCCTTCTTTCCAGCCTTCTCTTCATTTCACTTTCCCTCCCTTTCCCCCTTCCTCCCTCCCTTTCTCCCTCCCTTCCTCCATCCCTTCCTCCCTCGCTTCCTCCCATTCTCCCTCCCTCCCTCCATCCTTATATCCCTCCATCCCTCCCTCTCTTCCTTCTTTCCACCTTTCTCTCCCTCTCTTCCTTTCCTTCATTCTTTCCCCTCTATTCTTCTCTTCCTTTCCTTCCTTCTTTCCAGCCTTCTCTTCATTTCCTTCCTTCTTTTCACCTTCCCCTTCCTTTCTCCCTCTCTTCCTTTCTTTCCCCCTTTCCACCTATCCGTCCTCTTTTCCTTTCCTTAAATTGATTCATGGAATAAAGATAAACGCTATCTCAAACACTGCAATGAACCATGTGATCATTTCTGTAGCTGTTGAAGTAAGTAAAATAATTACGTTCTGTCGAATTCCTAATCTTCAATTACAGTTTACAGTAGATTCTCAACTTTGAAAAAGATACAGTTTAATCACCAGCCCTTTATATTTCATTCATTTTTTTTCCACTGGCATATTAAAAGATTGAGCCTTACAATACAGCAAAATGAGAAAGCAGAACAGTTATATTAGCGCTTTTGTTAACATTATCATAATAAAAAGGTTCTTTCTAACTCTTGAAAAGGATTCAACACATCTATATACTGTGTTTAGTATTCTTTATATTTAAATGGACAGCTAAGCCTCGTGAGCCATTACTTTTACATCAAAGATGAACTTGACATACATTCTACCTTTTATTCAGTGTTTCTCAAATAATTATGTAAAGATTTATAAAAGTAGATGTTTGTTTATCAATTAACCAATCTCGATGAATGACGGAGGACCGGCTTTAAAACCATATCGCTCAAACATTTAAAAGTTATTTCCCACTGGCAATACATATTATAATTTATATAACAGAAATAAAGATATAATCATAAATATCCTGGATATTCAATCATTCTAAACATTTTTAGACTGGAATATCTTCAATGGGATATATTTTGCCATGTTGTTTGCTCTTCTGGGATAGGAAC